TCAAATCTTTATTTTCCACAAAAGAACCATCCTGTGACGATTCTTCATCTTCTACTTCTATTATTTCTACAATTTCTTCTATTTCTGTCTCTACAGAATCCTCTGCAATCTCAGATTCGACTACAATGTCTTCCTCAGAAACTTCCTTGTTTACTATTTCCATTGTGTTTTTCTCATTACTAACATCTATTGTGTCCAATATTTCATGCAACATTTCCATAGTAGTTGTGGACTAGGAATTATTATCAAAGGAGGAGTGCTTGAAGAAATATGCCTCAGTCATATGCAATATGTATCACAGCATAAACCAACTATAAAGATATACAATGAGGATAGAACTCTGTTTAAATATAACTCTTATCGATATAAGATATGTATCAATACAATTATATTCATATACAGAGCTATACAACACTACTTATTCAGACAAAATAATTTTCTCTTTGTTTCAAATTAGTATAGATAATTAACAATTACAATTTCATTTTAAATAAACTGTCCAGCAAGCAAATAAGAAACAACAATAAAATATAATCTGATACATGTAAAGTAGTTACCTTGAATGTTCAAAACAATTTGAACATTCTGTCCACACTTTTTAAAAGGTAGAATCTACCTGCTTAAGAAGTATATTACAACAATATCTTGTGCTAAGTATTACATTTACGCATTACGAAACGATATATTTCTTCAATTCTAAATGCATATATAAGTTCGTTCATACATCAACAGGCAAGTTTTCAGAAAATGAATATTTTACTGATCCTAGAACCAAACAAGATTAAAGATAGATCAAATGACGAATAAAAGTGTATCGTAAGATGATCGTTAATCTATTTTTTTGGAAATTGATTTGAACAAGCGTTTAAGTATTCTGTACCGTGCGTGGTACACACGCGTATTCTTTACGAACAAAACATTCTTCAATTGTGCATAATTGCTTCAAAGGAGAGGTTCCTATGTGAAAAAGATCGTTTGAAAGCTTCAGGACAGGCATACGTACTTTATATATGATTAGAAACCCGCGGTTCACCAGTCGGTACGAAAATATCTTGCATTTATCAACGGACAGCAAAATGGCTACAAAACGGCAACGATTATCTCCTTGCAAAGATGCACACTAACATGCGGGAAATTCGACATACTTCCAATTGGGAGACGAACGAATAACCACACAACTTTTTATCACTGTACCTGTTTCAAATTGTTGAAATATATAAAACGACGATGTAAAAAAATTCTTTTTACTCGGTCGATACGCGCCAATATAATATCTCTCTCTACACTTCCCCCAGTAAGCAAGTGACACCACCTTAAGCATCAGACAGCTACATCTTTATCGTCACTAAATTAGGTTTTTAAATTACCGATCAAATTATTAATAATGATACCAATTTTTTTAATTTCATTGTTGTAAAATAAATAGTAAGTGATTTTAAAATATAATATAGACAGTAAATTGTATCATAGATGTGATATATCTTTACAGCCACACAATGTATAAATACCATTTAAACAAAGTTTTTTTCAATTACAAGATGCACATAAAGAATTTTTGAAGAAAAATTGGATTTCCTAAGAATTTATCAATAACAAATAAATAGTAAAATAGTTGCACATTTTTATAAGTATACTCACATATAATACATTTTGCCAATAATTTCTGTAATAATTTGCCATTTCGATTGAAATATATAAAACAGGATTGAATTTATATAAAACTATACGTAAAATATTAATGTTGTCCACAGCATTTTAGTTTGTATTTACGTATAGGTATGTAGTATGCATAAGGAACTTGTGTTCCGAAATAAGACGTACCTACTGTGTTTACATGACATTTTCTGGCGCAACTAAATATTTTTCGGTCATATTTTAAATAAAATTCATACTGATTTAAATTTAAACATTCTTCAATAGTTTATATGTAATTATTTGACTGAAATTGTACATCTTATGTATTTACATCACTAAATAAAAACATGAAAAACACACTGAAACAAGTACATTAACAACGATCAACAAAGTTTTCATTTTATTTTCAATATAATAAAATCCTTAAAACAATATATCATAGATTAGTACCATTATTTATATCCATATTTCGTTTTCGACTTACTAAGTAACAATTACTTAGATAGGCGTAGTAGAAACTGGTAGAAACGTCACTCCCGTACGGTGTGTGTGTGTGTGTGTGTGTGGACGTAAAGAATAATAATTTCATACTGTAATTCGTAAGTTTAATAAACAGCAGCAGTTCGTGATTGTTGTGACCACATAGAAATTTCGTATTTATTGATGAGGTGTCTCATTACTGATTATAGGTTTTTTTACCACGTTTATTTGTCATTGTAAAAAATGTGGATTTACGTATTGCTCGCTACTTTCATGACCTTTGATTTTGCGGCGGCTTCATCCGGTTTTGATTTTGGCGATACCTTAGCACTGATTCTTGGATTAATCATCGCATTTATTGGATTCTTTGCCTGTATGGGCGCTTACGCGAGAAGTCGAAACCCTTCACAACCGTTATGATTGCAGACCACTCCAGAATTTGTCCCATAGTAAGTTTGTTATCTTTCAATATACAGTTTACACTGAAATCACTGAAATACAACTGATCATATTTAAACAATTCATTCCGGGATTGATGTTTTTTTGGATCGATAATTCTATTATTATTCCAATAGAGCTGTTTCTAGAGACATCTTTTTTTTTCAATAACAAAGACATGTGTTACATTATTACCAATAGGTTATGATAAATTGTAAAATGTTTTTACTTTTGAATGATTAATTAATTATTCTGCATTATTTTGTATGTTTGTTTTAGTAACTTGTTCCATTAAACTTACAGGATATTCAATGCATATAAAATTAATGAAGAAAATGCCTCGAATCAAGCTTGTTGAATAACAATCGCACAATATTTTTATAAACTTCCTTAATAAATAAGAAATATCAATATTTTTTAATAATAATCATACCTTTGTAAGTATAAATTACATTGAGATATTATAAGGTACCTTTATGAATCAATAAGTTATAGTTCAATAAATATAAACTAAGGTTATAGCAAAAAGTTAGTAAAAGAATAAATATGTACAAGTGTTTAGTTTTAGACATATCTTAATATATATACATATAATTCAACTTAAACAAAGGGTTTTAAATCATCTTTTGTATTTTTATATGCTTAAAAATAATGTAACAAAAAATATCAATGAAGATATAGTACTTTCAATACCAATTAAAAAAATTGTGTGCTGTTGTCTACATGATATATTCATAAATTTTCACAAATATACAATGCATTTAATTAACATTATAAGTTATATTTTAATGCAATTTTTTCTCCAAGAAGGAATGGAAGAATGTTACTCTGAGCACAATTACCTAAATTATTCCAAGTTTCTATGGATTAATTGACTAAAATTCTGAAGAAGTTTTGTATTATTGAAATTAACATTTGTATGTGGTAATTATAATTCCTTTCTGTATAAGTAAAGGATTCAAATTAATTTCATGCTAATTTGCAATTTGTTAAATATTGATGTACCTTTTATGTAATCAGTCTTTATAAAACTTGTCACAGAATCCCATGCAATATAGCGTTTACGCAAGTCTTAAAGCATCTATGAACTTATATACTAGTTAGCACGGGAAAAGCTCTTTGATTATTTTTCTCTAAACAGTGTTCATATATCTTCAATTTTATTACAAGCAAGATAACTAAATACTAAAATACAAGAAATTTAAAAACTCAAGTCAATACTTTTTCATAATGATTACATACAATTTTTTGTTTCTGATAACTAAATTTTCCTTATTTCAGAAAATTATTTTCTGAGAAGACCAGTCTGTTGATAAATTATATTAATCTTGTGTTTCAATGTTGGATTTTTCTTTTATTACATTCGAGCACAAAAGAGCAAAAAGTCTGGTACGATTTCAAGAAAATGAATGATAATTTAATCTCATTGTACAGAACATTCTGTTATCCATTTGCATTTTCGAGATACCATGCAATGTATTCTTAAGCTTAAAGTAGTGAACTTATACAATGAATGCAATATATATATATATATATATATAAATCAACAAATTGTCTATACTTTATTATATATTGCAATTAATTATGTGAATCTGTGAAATAAATTAAATAATTTTAATAAATTAGTTCATAAAATTCTGATCCATCAATATGTACTAAGATGTGTGTAAGAGAATTTTAAAATGTAGCAAAATATCGTTTACTTGTCTTTTTTGTCATATTTTCTGAAAAATATATTATAACACCTAAGTTTGAATGTCCTAAGTTCAATTCCATCAAGCCATATTGGTAGAAAAGAATTGAATTGACCTTTCATATGTAACAGTGTTGTTTGGTATTCTTTGCTAAAACAATAAAAATGTTTTACAAAACGTTGCTCCAATTATACCGTTCTCGTAATACTAGATAGAGTTAAAACCATAATTGTACAAAATATGTATTTCAAAAGAAACAGATCATTGCAGTATTATTAAAGAAAGAATTACATATTCTATTGTCTGTTCATTTCATCATCACATTCAACGAATAAATATCTAGTCAAATTAAAAAAAAACATGAGTCACTTTTACCAAATTAAATCACTGTAAAATATTACATTAAACTCAGTTTATTTTAAAAAGTTTTAAAATAGTCAGCTTTTATTTACGTTCGAACATAGAAACTGCATTCTTTGTTCAAAAGCCAATCCACCTAACAGTAAATGAACATATGTACAATAAGTATTACATGTTACACATTCTCGTTGAGTATTATCTAATAAATTTATTTAAAAGTAACTGTATAAGATTAATTGCAATGTATTTCTCCAGAAGAAATACGTACAATTATCTATTATAATGTTTCGTTCAACAGTCACATGAATTTATTATCAGGTGGATCATATTATTATAGTTTGTTTTTGAGAAAAAAATAAGCAAAGATTCAAAAACAATAAAATTAACAGTATGCAGAACGTGAAAGTAAGACATGTACGAAAGAACTGAAATTTATGAAGCTCGGTATGATCTGTATATATTATAGTAACTGTAGGAGATCGTCGGAACAGATTCGTGTTCAGTTTGAAAGTCTTCTTTAACAGTAATACTGACAATAATAAATTCATGCCAGAAGCAGTAGTAACTCGCAATATTAAAAGCGGCGTGAACTGCACTTATTTTGAACGAAATAAAAATAACATCAATATTAATCATCGATAAACAATGGTAATATTTGTATCTAGATATACAAACAAGCTATTCTTAACTATATTGCAAAATGCAATATGTAATAGCATAGATGAAAAGTCAAAATGTTTCCTGGCTGGTGATCCAAGCTTTATACCATCATCTTTCATTTTCATATCAGTTTTTAAAACGTGTACGAATTCGATACCTACGCCATGTTTTCTCTCGTTTCTAATTAGACTCTCAATGCCTAGGATCGATTACTATTAAATTTTTTTGTAGATATGATTTAATAATCGGAAACGAAATCGTCGGAATAATAAAATTTCTAAAAAGAATTCAAAAGGAATGGACGTGCCAACAACGCGTGTCTCTGGAAATATTAGCCAACGAAATGTGCCAATTCGAAGTGAAATAATTTGGACACTTCCGTTAAATTAAATATGTGACAATAAAAAATATCGATAATGGAGCCTTAAAAAAAAACAGATAGTAGTCGATATAATATTAGACAAGATACATGGGTCTGCTAACTAGTAACACATGACTTTTTTTGTTTTAATAGAAGTAGGTAAAATCGCTAGAAATACATTAAAGCATAACAGTGACTATATTAATCATATTTCTTCTCTGCCTGACTTCTGCACAGTCACATTCATGCACACAATGAACATACATTCATTTTCTCTCTCTCTCTCTTCAAAGCATCCAGTATACATTAACAGTTATACATGTACATCGAGCAGAATGGCGACATCATGCCATTTCGATCGTTAAGACTAGCTGAGGCCTGTACTAATGTAGACTGTGCCTAACAAATAATCCGGAGCAGAAAGGGTCCTTTTAATATAAACATTTCTCACTAAACAAGGATATTCGCTATGTAAGCACAGTACAGGTAAAGGCCTCTATCCTCAATTTCAATCTTTCACTCTTACTTTTATTTTTCTTCTTCTCCTTCTTTTTTCCTCACTGAACCAGAAACTGATGAATTCATCCAAAATATCCTCCGCGTTCGAACGTAGCTCTCACATTTGTTGCGAGGCACATATCAAATATTAATATCATGCTCGCGCATACACAGCGAGAATATTTAAACGATTAACACACGGATGCCACACTATCATTGAGTACATCCTAAATACTTTCATTCATGCCTCCTTCTGCGTACGCAACATCCACTAGGAGGACGAGGGTAGCGATATACGTCGTATTTAGCAAAACTATATTAGAATATAACAATCGTAATGGTAATGTATGATCTCTCATATTAGTGGATAAGGAGCAACAAGTTTAAATAAAAAGTATACAGCAATCTCCCCAAATTTGTACAAATTTTAAACCTTTAAACACTTATATCGATATTCTAATTCTGAGAACAGAGTAATCGTAAGTATAACACGTTATTCGTAACTAAAAAAGACGAAGTATTTATACTGGTTTGATCGTTTTCCGAGCACTTCTAATATGTAGATAGTAGTTTCTTTAATTCGGCGACGTATCTACAATAATAAGTGTTTCGTTGACTTAATGAACTTGCGAATATGAAAGAGTAACATTTTACAAAATGAGAATTTTAATAGAAAGTAGCTGTTAAAGTGCTGCCTACATTGGTGAAGTTAATTTTTAAAGTGTTAAATCAGTGTTAATTTAAGTATATTTTCTCTATGGAACATGTTTAATTAGGTCTGGCTATTAATTATCAGCTGTGAAATACTCGTCAAAATAACAGATCTTTCACCCTTTGACAATTTTGGGGGTATTACTGTATTACGAGAACGAATAAATTGAAAACATAGATGATAATATAGCTTGCTGAAAATTACGTTATTGATCAGTGTGAGAAGGAGGGGCAGCTGAATTATCAGTATTTGTGTGTAACGGTTCCGTCGGCGGCGTACCATCGTGAGAATTCCCTATGTGCGGAGTGGCCGGTGTGGCTGGCTGGGACTGAGACGCCGGCTGAGAAGCATATATCAGTCTGTAACCAGCTGGCAGAAAGAAACCGCCGTGCGGTGTACAGCTAAACGTTTGGAAATTTGGTAACGCTTGGTTTTCGTGGTATTGGATGTAACCCCCGCTTCCCGTCGTACTCGATATTGGAATAGGCGTGACTAACGATCCAGTGGAGGACACTGCAATATTCGTTCCGTCCGGTAATATAGGCGTGAACTGATACTGGGCCGAATTTATAATTGAATTGTGTGCAGACTCGAACGACTCGGCAATTTCGCTCGTGTAACTACTAGACTGCTGAGAGGGCATGTTTTGCATAGTTTCAGAAGGCACTACTGGAATCGGAATAACATAAGCGTGCGGTATTCCAGCCGTTGCCTGTTGCGGTTGTAGTTGCAAAGGAGTTTGCTTCAATTTTTGCATAGCTAACCGTAACGTTTCGTCGGTGTCTGGATAATTACTTGGAGCTTTTTGCAATGGAGTTTGAGGCGTTGTATTAAACATTAAATAGTCTTCTGTACTTGGAAGTCTAGTTTGTCCTGTATTAAATAAAAAAAATTCGTGTCATTATAGTTGACGATGATCATACTGTTAGGAGGAAATGCACAGAATGCTTTGGAATAGTGAATGACCGATGACATTGCATTAAAAATAATTATTTACCCGCCAGACTAGTTGCGACGGTGTGATAAAGCACCGGATGATGCTGATGATGGTGCTGATGAAGTGCACTTGCTTGCTGCTGCTGTTGGATCAATAGCTGCAATTGATGTTGTTGAAAACGTTCCAATTCCTCTCTGTGTCTTCTCTGAAGCGTCTCCAGTTCCATAGTTTGCCTTTAATGAGAAAGAAAGGTTGTTTCAGGATTGTCGGAAAGCTTTGAAGTTTTATTGACGGAAAAGGAAACCTACTTTTTTATAAGCAACTGATATTCTTCACTTGGTGTCAATGTCCAAAATCTTTCATCCTTTTCCGTTAACTAAAAGTAATAAATCAATGTTTATACATTCGTTAAACTAATTGTTCAGATATATATGCAACTGAGATACTTGCTTCTACTGTAGGAGCACTAACGGTTGATTGGTTAGGTTGCGTAGGTGGCATAGAACTTTCACGGCTACGAATTATTTGTACTGGTGTACCTGTAATTTAAGAAAATAGTTAACATCCAGTTTTAACCCCGTATTTTAGTTTTTTTTTAAAGATCGATACTAATACTCGTACCCTGTGCATCCTCCGTATAGTAAACTTTCGGATCCTCTGCATATTGTTGTTGGTTTGGTGTAACTGCATTACTAGGAGGACCTGCGACCTTGGAAACCACGAATCTTGATATTTTTCTAACAGGTTGCGCTGTGCTAACCTTCTATCAAATTTGTATAATTATTTTAGCTTTCAATGATGCTTATAAAATATCTCAAACTTTGATTACACAATGTACTACATACCTCGGAAACATTTTCCTGGCATTCCGTTAGCACTGGAGTGTTCGTGTCGGAACGTGATGTAATGACACTGGGAGTAACAGTAGCAATCGGCACAGTTGTCACAGGTGGAACAGTAGTCAATAAACTTTGAGATGAATAGAACGGCGGTTGTATCTGAATGGAATTGACAGAAGAAACTGGGGGAGTAATAGGTTGCGGAGAAGCTGTCGAGAGAACCGAGCCTCTATGATGAATCTTTGCTAATTCTTGCTCCAATTCTTGTAGACGAGATCCGGGTCTTTGGGCTCGAACCTTTATACTTTCTTTGCTGGGGCTCATGGTTTCTGATCCTGCAGCACCTCCCCCCGGTGTTGGACTATCAAGGGAGCAATCTACATGCTAAATATATAAGACAACTGTTTGTAATATAATGCTAAAGTATACGCATCGTTAGTTGATTTTAATATTTCTCTGTTTCCCTCTTTTAAATTTGGCAACACAACTTACAGTTTGAGACAGCGCAAGCTGATGAATGGAGGTATCCTGTGCTAAAGCCAGACCCTCAATATTTGTTGTAACATTCGAATCAGTTAAGCAAGCGGGCGATTGTATTGTTGCCTGTGGTGACAGGGGACCCTAAAAATATTTCTTTGTATTACATATTGATAATATGCGTTTAATTTGTTACGTTTGTTTAACGTACGATTTCATTACTTACCACACCATGAGTGGTTGAAACTGGCATACCAATGTTAACCAACTTTTGCTGTAAAGAATGCATGTACGCATCGTATCCTCCTACTATTTGATGGTTGTGAGGAGTAGCTGGATAACTTATAGGCGGTGTTCCTACATTATGTGATTCGGATGGCTGGTTCGTTAACTGTACAAGTTTCTGATGGAGATCTGCTATTGTTTGTGGACCAGTTCCACTTGATCCACTTGCTCCAATAACAGTCTCTGATACTTTATCTAAAGAATTTTGCTGACTCAGTTTTCTGTGTTGTTGTTGTTGTTGTTGTTGTTGTTGTTGTTGTTGTTGTTGTTGCTGCTGCTGCTGCTGTTGCTGCTGCTGCTGTTGTGGTTGTAGCATTTGGTTTTGTGTAAACAATGGTGAATCTACAGACTCAACAATTGTATGCTCAGGAGTTACATCATGACTGGAACTCTCATTTTCCGACAACAGGTGACACTCAGTACTAACACGTCTAATGTTTTAACAAAATAAAAACGTTAGTAAAAGTATTTGAATAATCGAATTTCTCAATAAGAGCTTACATACCCAGTCAATGTTGTTGCTTCTTGATTCTCCACTTCGGTTGTTTTGCTTGGAAGTTGTTGTTCTGGAAGTTTCAAGTGGAATTGCGATTGTTCCAATGTAGCCAAGCATTCTATGCTCTGTACATCTTGCATGATTTGTTGCTGTACAGGGATAGTTTGTTGCAACAGTGGTTGACTCTGCTGAGAATGTCTCATTGGTACAGTCTGCTGTATAATATTCTGATTTGTAGTGGTAATCCATTTCCCTTGCGATATAGTCTGAATTCCTTGAAAATTTTGTTGTGTAATTTGTAAATTAGGATCCATTTGTTGGGCTGCATTTAATTGTAGTGGTTGATGCAAAGGTATCTGAGACTGATGGGACTGCTGAGTAATTTGAAAAGTTTGCGATATTCCTGGCTGCACTATGTTTGCTTGATAATTATGTGGCACCTGTGGCGGTATTTGCATCTGACTTGCCTCTGGCTGAATAGGCTGAAAATACTGTTCAGACTGAAGGTTAGGCTTATAGTCCAGTACAGTGGCGGGTGCAACATTTGTAGCTGGATTTGGCTCGTGACTGGTCATGCAATGGGGCGTCGCAGATTTTGATTTCGGATTGGAAAGTATATTTGCTAAATTTTGGGCCAGATCTGGTAGTGTCGATGATACCTCCTTCGTTTTAACTGTCACTTTGGGAGCGACTTCGGTAGTGATAACTTGTTGAGTAGGCACTGAAACGGGTACGGATGCACTCACTGGTACATTCACGATATTTTGAGGAACTGTTTGGAGTTGTTGTGCTGGATCCAGTACAGGTTGTGGCAAAGATGCAACGTTTTGTCCCTCTTGCTGAGGAATCAGTTGAACGTGCTGTACATGATGCATGGATGAACTAGGTACAACCATGGGTTGCTTCTTATCATCTGTAAGATTGGCTACTTCTGACATCTGTGAGTCTGTCGACATATTTGATGTTGTCGAAATATTTGAGATCCTACGGTTCCTTTCGTCCACAATCGCTGTTGGTTGCAATTGCTGAATGGGCCCGGAAAGTATCACATATTGTTGATGTTGTGGGATTTGCTGCGAGTGAAATTGCTGCATTGGTCGCTGACCTTGCATCTGTCCTTGATGCTGAAGTTCAGGTTGGATATTCATCTGTGTCAAACTGTGTTGCACAGTAATTTGTTGCTGTTGCAGTAAAACATTACACGGCATAGATTGATTCTGGTACTGTCCTTGTAAGTTGACACTGTTAGGGGGAACTTGAGTTTGCAAATCTTTTTGAGCTGTAACCATGATGTTCTGAGGGGCAGGTTGTATTTGTTGAGGCAACTGATGTGTCATCGCTGATCCTGGTACAATTACATTATGCGGACTAGATTGCACAGCGTTAATGGTCGGCTGCATCTGCGACATAGGCGGCATTGCTTGTCCCTGTATAATATTCTGAAGACCAATCGTTTGTTGACTTGATTGCAATATTTGAACGTTATCCACTTGTTCCGCGACGTACTGAGTATTCTGTATAATCGTTTCGATGCTAGGTTTTTCAGGAAGAACTGCTGCAGTTTGCGCTTCTAAAATATTTCCTTCTAAATCGTCAGGTTTCACTTGTCCCTCGTCGAATACATTAACCTGTGACATTAAATTAGATTGTAATGCCGAAATACTGGCTTTATCTACGCTTTCTGCACCAGCAGACCCATCCTCTTCGTTTGAAAGAATCTTCTGTTCAATTACGGGACTGACTAAAAAGCGAGAGATTTTTCGGACTGGGGGTGGCGCAGTTAGTGTAACCACTTCTGCAGCTGCGGTATCTGATTGTGCTTCCTTGTTTCCTTCCTTTTCTTGAAGATCAGCTGTCTCTTGCCCGACAAATTCTTTCGCTGTTTCGCTGATATGGTTCGCAATGGTATCGAGTACTGAACTTTGAGTATATGTTGTCGAGCACTGATAGATTTTATCCTCTTTGGATGCATTATGCGATTCTATACCTGGATCTGTATTCGTCACAGCGACTACTGTTTCTTGAGTATCAGTTGGATCACTTGGTAAATTGGTTGGTGTCAGTGTGTCTGTATTCTGTGTCGAGGTAGATGATCGTCTGGATGCTTCAGCTGATGTGTTCTCAGGACCTACTTGACTGTCAGGCGTTTGCACGCTTTGTTGTTTCTCGGTGGTGGCGCCGGTGATATGAGATATAATCTGATCAATCGGCAATAATTTCGTTGGAGTAGAAGTGTTGGATGTTTCGTCTCTCTGGAAACATATAACGAATAACTGTCTAGATGGACGCACAAAGTTTCGTCACAAAAACATTGCAATGTACATGAACAAAACAAGACTGTGTTAAAATTAAAAAATCTATTACAAAATATACTTTAGTATACAATAAATAAAACGTTTATAGGAGAACACATGTATACCTAATAGTGAACATTTATCTCAAACTGGTAGAATATTTAATAAATTCACTCGAAATAAATACTAGATCTTTTATATTACCGAAATATAATGTGAAATCATATTATCTGAGGTTCGCATGGAATTCTGTGAAATACATTTCAATTTCAATTAGTATTTCTAACAGGGATTAAGGAATCTTCCTGAAATGCCTTCAAAGTTAACATTGAATTAGGAACTTAATAAGTGCATAAAAACAAAAGCATGAACGCCTCGTTTAAATATTCCAAACATTGTATTATGAACTGCCTACGTGATGAACTTATTAAACACAGGAGAGATGTCGTCATATGATATCGCTGTGCCTTAAAAAGATACACAAACGTCCGAACACAGTGTATATGTATATCGTCAATTAAAAAAAGGATGCACAAACATCCAGGACTGTACGTCGAAATGTGGGAAAGAGGAAGTGCTTCGCCGGGGACGATGAACTCACCGAACGGTGCCTACGATGGACTTTGTACGACGATCGGTGGCTGCTTTGACGAGTTAGCGAGCCATGTCTCACCTGCTGCGTCCAAAACGATACATACCAATTATATGCACGCCCTTATTTCTTTTTTTTCTTTTTTTTTAGTGCGATCATGTGATGCATATTCCGTCTCTATAAACCATTAAACTATTCTAACAAAGTATTTATAGTTGCACAAGACAGTCAAGAAACAAAGTACTTAAATATTTCTAGCGAATTTAAAAAACAAAAAAACATTAAACATGAAAGATAAACTGGAAAGACAAAAGTAGTAAAACACTTTTGCTTTATGACAAAAGACTTAAATTACATAAATTATATTCTTCAGGTTTATCTTTCAGAATCGTGGAACTTTTTGATCTATGCATTTTTTATACTATTAAATCCATAAAAACATTCAGGCATTTCATTTCTTGTGATTTCTTAATTTTCTGAAAATAAATATCAAACAATCATTTAAGATATCTACTTAAATCCTATGATATGTAGTATGGACTTTTGTGTATCGGATCCTTAAATAATAATAATAATTATTATTACAATAATAATAACAACAACAACAACAACAATAATAATAATAATAATAATAATAATAATAGTGGTAATGATATTCTTCTTTACTTAAAATTTGATTGTAAAAATTGATCAGTTCATACTATAAGTTTGAAGATATTCATCGATCTGAATAAGAACAGAACAGAAACTGTTACCTTAGCTGTATCAAGACTGTGGTCACGATCTCTAGGACGGCGGCTTGTAACCGGGCTACCACCAGCTGACTGGTCCGGTGGACCGTGCGCTACCAAAGGCAAAGCACGTGTGGGGTCCAGACGCAATTGTTTAACGATGTCTTCTATCAATTCTACAAATGTTTCGCACTGCGATTGAGGTAATAAATTTTCAGCAACCTGTGGAAACGCAAAACACAATCCCTTTATTATCCATTCTTGTAGGTTCATTAAATTCTATTTGTATCACTAGCTTACCAAATTGTTAGCAATATCAGTAGGTACCATATCATCCCTATCGAATTTAAATGTTACAGTTTTTTGTTTGCTCGTGTCTAGCTGACATTCAACGGTCACTGACTGACCCTCACCACTGCTCACTGATAGAACTGTTAACTTAATGCCAGGTTTTTTTCTCTTCGTGCCAGATCTTTTTACTCTGCACCTTTCCGAAGAAACGTTGTCAGAACTTTCTTGTGTTATTCTATAAGAATAAATAATTCTATGAAATTATAACACACATTCTTTGAATCATTTTCAAATTAATTCAAATTGTCAATATACCCTTCGCTTGGTGGTGCGGCTTGAGGCGCAACATTAGGCATATTAGATGCATTCACTTGTTCTTGAACACTCGAAGGCAAATCTGCTGGTAGGGATTGTACAGAGTCCATTGTGTCCTGTTTAGGTAAAGAAGATCTGTCTGTAGTGATTTGATCTGCGTTCGAAACAAAATGCTGCTGATGCTGCGCGGTTGTTGTTGATTGTACGGGAACACTCATTCCGGATGACATAGGTACGGAAGTGGGTACGTTAGAAGTTTGTGGATATTGCATCTGAACCAAGAGATTCTGTTGAGGTTGCGATTGATGTCCACCATTTGGAATAATTGAGGATGCAGTCTGCATGTTTGGAATAGTAGTTGTTGTCGCACTCTGTATGTGCGTCGCCGATGATGAACTTTGAATACTAATACTAGATGGTACAGAAGCTTGAACCTGTCCCGATTGTTGCTGTATGTAAGACTGTGAAGTTGGAGGTGCTGAACTTCCAGGAATACTTGTATGAGGATAAATTTGAGTAGTAGGCTGACTGGATATTATTTCAACATGGCCAGCTGGATTAGAATTGGTATACGAATGATATATTTGTTGAGATATATTCTGTTGATATATAGGCTGCGTAGTATACCCCGAACTTCCTGTAGTACTCTGCTGATAGAACTGTTGATTTTGAATTGACGGAGAAGCGACTGAATGTTGGTGTACTTGTTGCACATGCTGTACCTGTGTTTGAGAATATTGCACTTGTTGAGGCTGCTGCATCTGCTGAGGCTGCTGCATCTGCTGAGACTGCTGCATCTGCTGAGGCTGCTGCATCTGTTGAGGCTGCTGCATCTGCTGCATCTGTTGAGCCTGTTGCATCTGTTGTGGCTGCTGCATCTGTTGAGGCTGCTGCATCTGTTGAGGCTGCTGCATCTGTTGAGGCTGCTGCATCTGTTGAGGCTGCTGCATCTGTTGAGGCTGCTGCATCTGTTGAGGCTGCTGCATTTGTTGAGGCTGTTGCATTTGTTGGAGCTGTTGCATCTGTTGAGGCTGTTGCATCTGTTGAGGCTGTTGCATCTGTTGAGGCTGTTGCATCTGTTGAGGCTGTTGCATCTGTTGATGTACATGTTGTTGCTGAGATAAAATTTGTATTTGTGGTTGTATCTGCGGTTGCATTTGATGACTCATCTGTTGCGGTACGTTCATTTGATTTAACTGTATATACTGTTGTTGTTGTTGTTGATGCATATGTTGTTGCTGTTGTATCTGTTGAGTCACTTGAGGAAATTGTGGTTGAGTTTGCACAGTCTGGGGTGTAGAACACTGTGAGGAAGTAGCGTTCAAATTTTGCGAAACATGCTGTGAATATGGTTGTTGTTGTTGCTGTTGTTGATACTGCTGTTGCAATTGCTGCTGATACTGTTGTTGCTGATACTGAACTTGCTGTTGCGACACTTGAGAAACTTGTTGTATCTGTTGTGCTTGCTGAGGTTGAACAACCGGTGTCTGTTGCTGCATCAGTGGTTGTTGCTGAACCAACTGAACCTGTTGTGGTTGTAAGTTGTGTTGTTGGGATGGTTGTGCAGCGGGTTGTAACTGTTGTTGCGGTTGTAGAGTTATCTGGTTCTGTTGCAGCTGCATTTGTACTTGACTCTGCATCTGAATGCCCATATTTGATTGCATTTGTTGTTGCTGTTGTTGCAGTTGCATCTGTTGAAGTAGTAGCTGTTGCTGCAATAAATTCTCATTGGCTGTGTTAGTAGTGTCCGCTTCTCTATCTAAACGTTCTTTTTCTTCTTTGACTTTACGTTCTTCCCTTTCCCGTAACAAAGTAGTAATTTGCGATTTCAACATCTTCGCTACGGCTTTTACATCTTCTTCAAGTATGAGGCTAGACTTAGCCATCTCTGAGGCCACCTCTTCCGCGTTGTCCGCTAGGATGTCAAAGTCGAACTGTATCGCCTCGTTCTCTTTATGCTTGTTAGTACGCTTTTTTGGGTCTAATACTCGAAGTCTAAATTCAACGCGTGATAGTTCCGCGTCTGCGACCGCCGAATCTCGCGAAACCATTTCCAATTTTAACCCAACGTCGTCCGCGAAAAATTCATGATTTAAAAGATCCTTGACTAGCGGTCGCTCTTCTTTCTTTAGTCGTATACACATTTCTATGATTTCCCGTACCTCTGGGTTTTCTACTTTGTCATAGCTCTGCGGCTTTACACCCTATACAATGTCAATATTAATTAATATTAATTAACTGCTCATAGGACTGAATAAGAATTTTAACTATATATTTTGAATTAATAATAGTTTATATTACCGATACTACGCGTTTATATATTTGCGCTGGTCCAGTACATTCAGAGTATGGATATTCGCTAGTGGCCATTTCAAGCATACACATTCCAAATGCATAAACGTCAACAGACTCATCATAATGCTCCTCATACATTTCCGGTGCCATGAATTCAGGTGTGCCAATCACACTCTTTGCGAAACTTCGATTTTTCAGAGTCGCAAGACCTAAATCGCCGATTTTTACACTCCCTGTTGTACCGGTAATAAAAATATTGTCACACTTCAGATCACGGTGAATAATTGGTGGTGATCTTGAATGTAAAAAGCTAAGACCCTTCAAAATTTGTCGACACCAGGACTTCACTACCTTCGGATTAATTTTTTTAAAACGTCTTAGGTATCTATATAAAAGATCATTTAATAAATTACAATGGTATAATAACTATAAGAATGTGAAATTTTAACGCGATTGGAAACTCACGTTTTTAATGTTCCTGAAGTCATAAGTTCAGTGACTAGTACAATGTATTTCCTACGCGTAAGTGTAACTTCCCAATAGTCATAAAATCTAACAATATTTGGATGTTGTAATCCTTTCAACATTTCTGCTTCTTCCCTAAACCTCAGTCTTTCTGTCTTGTTCAACTTTTTTTCCTAAATAGAAAATACGTAAATGAATTTTTAGTACCTTATAAAAAATAATTTATTAACAGTAATAATACAAATATCGTATTAATTTGTAGTGTTACCTGTAATTCGCACCACGCAACCGCCACACCAGTTTGAGTGTCCAAACCTCTATATACAGTCTTAAAGCTGCCTCTACCGATTTCCTCTTCAAATTTCAAGAACCTACCGTCCGGTGATATACCTATAGCCTTTTCCTCATCATCGTCATCTTCTACATTCTGAACTTTCACTTTCATTAACAAATTTCGCACTTCCTCCATGGCCATAGCTTTTTGCGTTAATTTCTCATCCGCTTTAAAATTTTCGTCGAGCAAAGGACCGATAAAGCCCTCTACCGTTTCTTCCTGCGTGACGTCCTTCTGAGAATCCTTCGTTGTTTTGGTCTCATCCTCGACACTCGTGTCCTTAACGTCCTCCATGTCTGTATCCAAAGGTGGTACTTTCCCTAATTTACTCAGAGATTCATGAAGTGCTTGTGCAGCAACAATATCGCTGATACTGGTGCCATTGTCATCTTCGTCGTATATTGTTACTTCTCCTTCTACTTCTTCTTCCCTCTGTGTATCAATATCTTTTCCTTCAGTCTCCACTATCTCTTCTGACACTTTCGATGTCACAAACCTTGAATTTTTTACCACTTCCTCATTCTGTTGTGTCTCCATTTTATCTTCAACGTCTTCTTCGGAATCTTTACTCAAACCCTCCTTCTCCGCCATATTGGTAGATTTGGATGAGTCGGTAGACGTTTTCCGTTTTACTTTTTCATTACTTCTATTATTACCTGTTGAATTCGTGGACGTTTCCATGGACGTATCTGTATTATTTTCTATATTTATTTCTTTCGAATTTTTACAACTTTGCTGCCCAATTATTGTTTCTGTAACGTACTTACTTTTAGATCTGGCGGTTTTTCCTTCGCTATTACTGCATCGCGTATTTATGGAAGATGTAGAGAATACTTTTTGTTTATCTTGAACGATTACTTCTTCGTCGATGCTACTCGCTGAAATATTTTTCGTGATATTCGGTGTCTTAGAGAATTCGGAACATTCTGCTGTTGCTTTTTGCTCGTTAAAATCTAATGATAATTTTTTGACTAATGCGTTTTGCGACGACTCAGCACCATCCTCACGGATACTATATTCCACGTTCGTTTCATCTTCGTCCGATTTTTTCGACTTCACTCGACTAATTGGTGTTGGTGGCGTGGAACTAGATCCTGTATATTTCAAGTAAGATTAATACGGATTCGTACAAGCTACGTAAATTAGAAAAATTAAAGAAGAATGCAATACCTGGCACATTGAACACATTTTCTGTTGCCGTGATAGCTTCCTCTGCGTCGCTGAAACTACGCTCATTTTCATTGTCTAACGAAGGCGAATTGAGATTCCGAGAAGATGATTTTTCCGAGATACGTAGCGTAGGTAAAACTCTTTTTTTAGAAGACGGTGAACTACTTGCGACTCCGTTAGTTGTTATAGACAATGAATCTGTACTATGATCAGTCCTCTGCGTTCGTATTTGTTTCTTGCAAATTGTTGTAGAAGAACGACTTATACTTGACGTCTAAATGGATCACACATTATTGATAGTGGCATACAAAGATGTACTGAAAAGCGGCATCCAAAAATTGGAAGTCACGTGTTATTCAACAGGGAAGTGCATTTTGCTCTCACAAAAATATATATATATATATATATATATATATATATTTGCTTCAGGATTCAAAGAAGACAGGACAATTATAGGATTAATTTCCCTCAAATGTTAAGAAATTTTCAGTATAGTATACAGAGTAAATGGCTGCAAACTTTTGGATAATTTAATTACAGAGAATTTATAAGGACAAACCTTTCGATCTCCAGAATTATGAGCACTAGTACCAGCTTGCGAAACAATAGACAATTTTCTTTGGCGTTTATGATTATGTGTGTGATTGTGAATTCTCTGAGTAGTAACAACTGAACATGGGCCTCCACTTTCCTGAGAGGCTAAGTGGCCCACTGCCAAACTAATCCCACCCTGGCTATTGCCACCTCCACTGGCCACCAGCTTTGGACATAAACTTGACAGGCCACTTCCGCCTGAAGAACGTTGCCTATTTGTCTCATACCTAAAACATTATCGAAGATGCTACATAAATATAATGTTATTCAAAGAAAAACCATTTCTGAGTATGATAGAAAGTCTCTTTAATGTTACTTTTGTATAATGTTAATTTTACTTGTTCCATAGACTTTATATGGAGTAATCAATCTATGTATTTGCAATATGGCTACATTTTCAAAAGATAACAAGCTTTATTGTAACAGAAAGGAATGAACTTAATTTAATTCTTGCAAGACGATAGGACTACTGAAAAAGCAAATTAAAATCGTGTTTAATACTATATATATATATATATATATATATATGTAACACTTTCTTGTTTTCTTATCATATTATATTAAGATGGTAATATAATATGAAAAGAAAACAAGAAAGTGTTACACATATATATGCACACGTGCTTTGCACTCAAATGCTTTTTCTTACACAAACATGGATAGGAATAACTATAAATTAAAGTACTAATTAGGTTTTTAGTCTCATCGGTACTAAATGTATGTCAAGATTAAAATTATGTTACATTACATAACGCCAAAATGTTGCGATTGATGTATAGAATTACTGCTGAATCTCACAAGAAGATGAAATATGTAAAACAGTTAAGTATCGTTTATACAAATGACGAAAATAAATTAGGAACACTTATATGATATGAGAATGAAGCAATTTTTGAAGGTTGAGAAAGCCAAATGTAATGTAAGTGATGTAATTACACTATTAATGAAATATAATTTTTTCATTAATGTTTCAGAGGTGATGAGTGCTAATTCAATAATCTTATACTGCAGCGTAACAGTCATCTACATTCTAAAGCTACTAACCTTTGAATATATACAAAATTTCATACTTCAAGATGAGGCTCAGTAATTCTGAAAATACATATTTGAATTCACATTTTTATTTTTAAATGGAATGTTCATTGCTATATGTAATACTTTTTGGCCTTATGTACAAATTTCTTTATTTAATTAATCTCTTTAATTAACACCTACAATTTCTAAAAATATTTAAGATGATTTGAAATCTATGATACAGTAACTATAATGTATGTTCAATATGTAAAGTACAGATGAGATGCATACAAGTTTCTGTGTATATGTACCTTTAATCAAAACACTATTACACATTAGCAGGGGCATGTAAGAAGATCTTCCAGTGAGTTTGTAATGTAATACTGAGCAAATTCATATATTTTTGATATTCAAGAAAGTAGAAATTTTAAAGTCTTTATAGGATAATGCAATATTCAGACACAATTTCAAAATATATTATACACGAATCAATTATATCAGATGTATCACACATAAATAAGAAGCGAATAATGAATTACAGCAAAGAATTTAAACGACAGAAGGTAAAACATGACAATGTAAGAAGCATGATTTTGATACAGACATCATTATACCTGTCCTGCCTGCTGTGGCCAGATGAGAGGAGTCCTCGCACTGTATTGCCTATAGCTGCTCTCTTTTTAGCTTCTTTCTCCTTTTCTTTGTACCCAGACCCAGTGCTCACCTGATGATCTTGACGGCTGTTCCTTTCCCCCTACAATAAATACAATGGTGCTAAAACCACTAATTATAAAGAAATAATGTTCTATGCATATAAAGCAGCATACACTGAGAAGAAACAGAAATCTGAATCTTGCAAAGATTTACCTTAATGCTTAAGAGTTTTATATTCAAATTAGTACTTGTGTTAGTTGGAACTGGACTTAAATCACACCGTACTCTTCTATGTGATTTCTCAACAATCGGCGGATCTTCATCTAATTCCAACTGATTCCCAATTGAAAAAGGACGAGTTTGCGTTAACAAAATATCCTCTGTATTGTGCTTCTGACTGGTGCTCACCGAACTCACTGCCTTGTTTTCATTACAGCATCTCGGCATTGCACATAACCAACTTACGAAAGAGTTCACTTTATAAAATTTCTTTTCACCTATTAAGTATATTCCTTTCCCTTTATCTATTTAACTTGAGTAGAAACTTCATGAAAACCTTTACTATTATATTATGTACGAGGAAAACAACTCATAGTGTTGCTTTTTTTCTTCTTTTCAATTAAGATTATTTCTCAAACTATGAAATACTGAATGTATTTATAGCGTAAAGAGTTTACAATTCTTATGCTCATCACAGATATTTTCCTTCTTTGTTTAGTGTATATACTTCCTACCACAAATTCTCAATAAATATTTAATACCAAAGAAGTTGAACAATTCTGAAAACAGAAAAAAAGGAAAATATTAACGAAAAACAACAATCTTTATTGCAAAAAAATATACAAAGAAGTTGTATAAATGATTTGCTCAGAATTTCACAGTATAAAAGTTTAAAAGATGTAAGACAATAATAGTTTAATATTCATCAAATCTTATACAAATATATTATGGATATCTTAGATTTTAAATGAATTTTTTATTTATTTAAGAGCCTAAATTTATCATTCTCTAATTCTAAATTTAATAATTAATAGTTGAGGATTACATCAAAGGTTTATTGATATAGAAGATTTAATTGAATCTTATTGTTTTGGATAAACAACAAGAAAAGGTACTAACTGTATGAGGCTTTATAATTCATTCAAATTTTGCACATTGAATGTCTGCAATATTGATCAAAGTTAATATTTTTTTGTTCTACCATATATTTTATTTCACAAAGCATTTTGATCAAGATTAATAATGTTTTTGACAATTATATATGCCAAATGATTAATACATATTTTCTTTGCGTATGTATATGCCATATGTTAACCCTGGAAGCACAACCTATGGGTCATTGTCACATCATAAAAATGAAATTCTGTATAAATGCTTTTATCTTAGACGTATATAGACATATATGTTTTTATTCTATTTTCTTGTTGTATGTATTATAATTAAACATTCCTACAGACACTGTAGAATTGAAAAGATTTCTAGAACCTCGTTCATAAGGTTGGAATGTTTGTTAATAAGAAATTAAGATCTACTAGACCCCAGGGTGTTGAACAAATCACAAAAGAGTAGGTATGTGAGTGTGTATCCAACTAGTTTATGAATAATCCAGAAACTGCATGACGTGTATGAAAAAATGCAACAAAATCAACAGCTTGTTTCCCATGAATAAAAAAGAAAATGAGGGGCATATGAACATTGTGATTGAAATAGAATTCTATCAATAAACCTTGAATTAATCTATTTTATAGAGGGCAGAATTGTGCGCGCGTATATGCGTGTTTACGTGCGTATGTGCGTATGCATAGTCTTTCTTGTGACACTGTATAATTGCTGTTTTGCAAACGTTTATATATTGTACAAATCGTATAAATTTAGCAACATCGATAACATAATGTTGATCACGTCGACTGCCAATAAATGTGAGGGCAACCGATCTCAGAATTAGTGCTTCGCGTATATATGTGTATGCATATATATACATGTGTGTATGACGTTTATATATATATACACACACACACACACGCGCGCGCGCGCGCGCGCACGCACACGCACAGCACATTCAACGTTACATGCAACACATTTCGTTATTTGTCAACAAGGTGAACACTCGTATTATTCGAACCGTAACGAGACGGCCGCGGGAATACTGGTTCAAATGAAGAAAATGAATCAGAGGGATAAGGGGAAACAAGGAGGTACAGAAAGAAGGGGTGAGCGAGAAAAAAAAAATTGACTTCGTCAATAACGCAGTATGTTGTCAAGCATCCGTGGATAGTCACTTGAAAAATGTTGACAGTATATAGTGAGTAGCAGGTCTTACGTATATGCCGCGATATACGTATCTCACGGACACATCGTTGCACCGCATGCTGTACACACAAGGGAACAACTGCGTGTTACGGGGTGTAGAGGAAGTCACCACTAATACGTACAACCGCAAATCAAATAAATGCCACACGTATTTGGTACGCGCGGATATAGTCGTGCACTGAGAAGATAATGTGACATCTATCCCAAAAATATCGCGTCGGGTACATATTTTACGGATTGTCTTGCAGCAGGCGGCTTTTATGCCCCATCGTCGACACGGGTCTGTCCGCCGTTCGAGAACGTCACGAGGCTATCCTGGACTTTTGACTGATAAAACGCGCCGCGAACACCGCCAAGTAACTTGTCATGCGGAGATGCGTGAACAACAATACCTACATAGTGTCGCGGTTTCGTGCGTATACATACGATACCCGTTCGGTTATCGAGTGTTCCATTACCTCCGTTCTAGACCCGGTCATATTAAATTCGCGACGCACTGACAAACAGCACTCGTAATTCCCTTAGTCACCCGGTACTCACATTTGTGTTGCAGAAAATCGCCCGACTACACCCAAATAACCACCATTTTTTTTTCACTGACCGAGGCGCATTCTCGCGGTGCTATATGCTGACAATGATCATGTTAATAAATTCATGCGGCGTACAACCAACGGTTAAAATAGTCGTCCGCCCCACTATGCATCGAATGTTACTAGTGTCAATGAGAACGCTTTCTTATGCGGTCATGCTCAATGGTATAAATTCGTTTAAAAAAACTACAGGGAAACAGTGCAAACCGCAATTAAATGTTTTGTTTCAACGGTGTCAGACTGTCTTTTGAATTTCCTACAACTGATATAGTTATTAACAATTATCAATAGTGATATTGTTTAAATAATGCTCGATTTTTCTCAACGTGATGGTGAATATAGTTCAGTAGATCTGTAACGTCATCTATGGTAAAATGTTGAAACTCCCAGTCAATTAGTACTATATTCTTTAGCTTAGATGACGTTACTATGTCATGCAGGTATCTGTTTAAAAAAATAAGTATTTAAAAACGCATTAACTCTCCCCCTTACAGACCGCGTCGCCAAACTTGTGGTCACAGACGAAATATAAGAATAGACCTAACATCTTATGGGACCTGGTGTCCCACGAAAATTACGCTGATAGAGCGCACCTCTACATAACAGTTTCCGATATCAGAAATTACATTCGACACCGTGATACCATCGACTAGGTATAGGATAGACCTATCATCTTATGAGATTTCGTGTCTCATGTTCTGAAATACCGATAGTGTAAAAAGTCAGGGATTTTCTGCTGCCTTCTACGTTATGAGAACGGTGAATTTGTGAACTACGTTAAATCTAAGAAGGGACCATGGTCTTGAACGGATTCTCTTCCGTTCGCTCGCAGGCCATGGAGCCTGCGCGGTGAGAGCGTGGGGTCACGGAGCCCCGGTGGAAGCGCCATAGACCCTGCACGGTGGCCCCGGTGGAGGCGCCTTTGATCACGTGGGCTGAGAATGTGGGGTCACGGAGCCCCCGAAGCATGCTGAAGAGACCCCGGGTATGTGAGATCTATGATGTACAATTAGAATTTCAACGATTTATAAATAAAAGTACACACGGCTGAACTCAACGATAAATTTAATAATAAAATTATTTACAAAACTTAGGATCGATAAATTAAACATCAAAACTGAACATCTGAAATAATCAATAAATTATTAACAGACTTCGATATTCAAAATTACCGCGCAAAACTACAATCAAGTCCCGACATACATATTTATTTATCGTATATATCTTATATGACGGATATTGTTTGGAATTTATACATATGTTTATGTTTATATATTTTAAACTTTATATTAAATATTTAAATAAATAGATAAAGTATAGCATTGTAGTGTATTGTCTCTCAACGCAGAAACAACTTTTGTGTTGGGTAGAGGTGGCATGCAAAATCACTAACGGTGATTTATCACCGTGATCGCCGAATCACGATCACGGTCGTGATTTAACTTCATTCACAACCGTGATTGCGATTTTTCTATCTTGGGTGAATTAGCTCACTGCGATCGTAAGTCCTTGATCTTTAAACAGAAAAACGTATTCAATATGATTTTACGATAATTACATTACTATTCGTGTTTGTAAACATCAGTAGAAAAAACAAGAAATTCTAAAAAAATGATTTGCTAGGTAACATGTAGATTATAATTTGTAATCATTAATTTATTCATTATTCTTCATTGTTTCTACTTATTCCTTCACTTTATACGATATAACCCTAATTTTTGTTTTGATGTCGTTAATGTGAAATATACAAATTATGTATCGCGTGTAAAGAACTGTTAGGTTTCTCCACCAATAAGAAACGATCACGGGAAATCACGAATCACTGTGAAAAATCATCGTGATTGGGAACGAACGTGATCGAATCACGAGTGATTCACAAGTAGCAGTTCACGCCATCTCTGGTGTGCAAATTCCTCTTAACTGTTTCAGTTTCCGTTCTATGTTCCCTTGTGAAACATGCTGCACTCTGCACTTACCTTGATAGCCTGTACTGGCCTGTAGTAGCTGCGGACATGGCTAACTGTGGATTGTTGCATTATGTAGATTTAAATTTGAGAATGATCTAAAGCTGGAATCGCTGTTCTAGTGTTCACGCGAGGGGTATCACAGAAAAATGACTCGCACAGTGTCATCGAATATTTAGGAATTAATGAAACTGAAAAAGCGGAAGAGTCTGTGCGCGCAGTGCGTAAATATGCCCGCCAAGGTCTCAAAGAAGGTCGTGGGCATGATCGTACGAAGCCGAAAATTCATTATTAAGGATGGGGTCATTACGGTACTGAACAATTCCGTTTAATATCTATTAGGTTTTTAAGTCACACGTTGATCCGTTTTATATATGTTTTCTCTGAGTTTCCTGTTGAAAGTAAGTACGAGATATTTTTTGTTCGAAGCATGATGTTTGCGACAATACATAATTATTCTGTATTTATCTTCTGTCAAATAGTGCATAAAATTACGAGTAACAACCATATTTTACGTTAGACGCTGATTCCATTACTTTTAACATTCAGAACTGGCGACACATAGTGTGAATTTGAGCGTGGTTATATTTTCATTACCAGACTGCGGATGTTTATGCAAATATAAATTTTTATGGTTTAATTTACAGAAATCAGTATCAAACAGAAATATGTTTATTCTATTATGGGTTCCATTAGGCTCTAGATAAAATAAACATTATTAAACTATACAGACTTTTGACTATATTGAGATTTAAATGATTGTGTGTGTGCCATAGGTGGCCAACTGTAGCTAGAATGAGTTGTAATAATCCTACCACTGAGACCCAAACACCAATATTGCGAGTAGGGACAATTGCAGTAATGTGCATGCTTGGTATCCGTAAAGAACTTGAGGCCTGTGCACTCACAGATTGCCCTATCCAGACCATGCTCACACAAATGCAGCTCCCATTCCTGCAGCTTCCACCTCCTCAACCGACCAGCACATTCTGGCCAGAGTTGGGTAGATATGGTATGTGCTATAAAGACATAAAATCTATGGTATTGCATTATAAGACTACTCTTGGGGGAAGAGATATAATGTGGTTGTAGAACCAATCAGAAGCTAAAGTACTTATGTTTCTGGCAATGGAACAAAACAATCGATAGACATATGGAATACAAAAAGTATTGAACCTTATGTAGGATCTTGTGTACTGGCCCAAGTTTGAGTTGGATAGTTGTTTTCTGTCTATTCGATGTTGACAGCTCTTTAAGTGTAAAAAGAAATTGTTTATTTTCTTGTTGGCAACAGAATTGTCATTGGTTTCTATAATTATCCTTCTGTGATGGGTACATAGCCCTGCTTCTTATGTTATTAATGAAATCTAATTGTCAAGAATCTACATTGCAACCACTCTGTATTATTTCTACCAAATGTACATAGCATTGACGTATGGCTGAATCTTTGTTCATTTTCATGTAGAGGATTGGTTTAAAATGTAATTTGCACACTTCATAGAAAACACTCAAGATTGTGGAAGGTGTATTGTTTAACTTAACACATCTTTATTTTCAGTTGATACGTATAATATACAGAGAGGAAGTAATAATTTTATTAGTGTTCAAAGCAGTGTGCGTTGAACATCTTCAATTTCTATACATTCCTTGTATTTTATGATAGTCAAAGCATTGCCTGCAACCAGCTTCTTTGTTTAATTTTTATCTGTCAGAATGACGAGATATTTATGAACACGCAATTGATCTGTGGAATACCTTATATATTATTTAATATAACGTTTGATCAATTTGTCTTTTAAATAAAGAATAATATTGCAATGTTGCCATAGATTATATTATTTTACATTTTTTTTCTGTTAATTTCATGATTTATTACTGTATTTTTACCATTAAAATATTTTTTTATATACCTATTTTCATTGATACCAGAAGAATAAACATTTGTGTACAACAAATAAATGAAAATATATTTATTCTCACATCTTTGATTTTACAATCTTTTGAAATGAAATAAATTCATAAATACTTACTGAGTTTAAATCGTATTAAGAGTTATTCATCATGATTAACTCTCAAATATAAAAGGTATCTTGCAAGATTTACATGTGTTAATTACCAACGTGGAAACATATTTTCACGATTATTATGCAGTAATTATCGAAATTATTAAAAAAATGTTCGAGCTACAGACAACATTAAACGTCACTTTATCATTACGATTACGGTATATCTCACAAGTAATCGCACGTTCGTAATAATAAATACATCGTTCACCTTGTACCATTGAAATGTATATCTCTTTTTCTTATTTGAACAGTATTAAATTATTTGTTCTTTTTTCATTAGTATTATACAGGGCGACCTATTTAGTATTTTTATACCTAGCTTTCGAAAATACGAAAAGCTTGTTCGGACGAAGGTTGTTTTACTTTATGCAAGAAACTAAATACAAGTTTCGCGAATATCGATCAGGTGTCAACAGTGTGTGGCTCACATACAGCATGCTTTGGGAACATTAGATAGCTCATGAAAGATGCATTTATGTATATAAATTATTTTCTGGCAGAACGATTTTCCGTTCAATCGTATGATCTTAAACATACGACGAACGGTGCATGCAGGTGCATTATGTCTCGCGCATTAATTTCTAGGTTAGACATGATTTGAAGCTTCGACGAAGAGAGTATAGCGTGTATCGTTAGAAGTGGGGGGTTTCGTTAGTATAGTTGCAATGCAGTGGTCGGGTTTTCCTCGAAAATTTTGAATACCTGCACCAAAAGAAATTCAAGTGACGATTATCAAAACGGGAGAAGCGTTGATGAAATACGAGCACTTGAGAATTACGAGGCAGAAGGACTGACAATAAGTTATGACATCAAAAAACACTGAAATTGAGAAGGTGTACTCCACCCGATTTGTCAATTTATATCTGTCACCGATCGTACCATTCTTTTGACACGCGCTTAATGTCTCGTTGAACAATTGTCACTGTAAATATAAATATCAGAGACTATTTTTCACTTGCCTTTTCGACCCTCGTGAAAACCGCGTGACCTCTTACGTTACACAGTTTATTTGTCAAGTTACATTGAGCGAAATATTTTGTTGGTTGAATTATTGACAACAAAAATGTCTGACAGACACATGATAGTTTCATTTAACAGTGAGAAAGGGTTGACACAAAAATGTTGTAATAACACCATGAAAGAAAAAGAATTTTTTTGAACTTTTTTATGTTATAATTCATTAACAATGTAGTGCTCTTTGCAAAGACTACAGTGTATAATAAAATCTTTGAAATATTTCATGAATTTGTACTCATGACAAGAAAATCATATATTTAAGATGATTCTGATTTCATATTCTTAAAGGATGAATTTGAGAAAAGAACAGTGATGGGAAATATTGTTGAGAATAGAAGGAGAATTCAAAATCTATTAAAAAATGACCATGAGGAAGGAAGGTTGTAGGATTAATTATTTGAACGAAGAGAATGGAATGATGTTGTCAGATGACGTTTAATTTATCAAAATGAATTTTTTACTATAACTCAGTGCACAGAGTATTTTTCATACATTTTTGATCTAGCCATATAACTTTTGTTGATAGCACAATTTACAATAATGAAAGACTAGTCTCCTGAAGACAAGAAGGATATTACAATAACAATATGTATAGAAGCATATGTAAGAGCTGTACATACAGCTAATAAAGTATTTATTAAGAAGAAAAGAATGCAAAACTGCAGAAATAGAGCTTTGAATTGGAATTAATTAAATATAATTAAAGAAGTACTGTAATAATAATCTTTAATGAAGATTAGGTTGAACAATGAAAAATTGATGTGGTGCTAAGTGAAGGTTATTCGTTACAGTATTATATGGATCTGAACAACTGATAAATGAAAAATTGATAGAATAATAAGTATGGATAGAAATATATATAGTAGCACTTCTTAGGGGTCATGCCCCCTGGGGCAAAAGATGGAGCAGAGGGCCTGGGCCCCTCTTGTTCTGAGATTCACAACAGCCAAGAACATGCTATTGCTAAACTCACACCTCCTCTTACATTTGCTCAGCGATGCTACAGGCATCTTAAGGTCAGCTGTCACAATTTGCAAAGTGCTTATAGCGTTGATAAATTCCAAGAAAATTTACGATTCTGTTCTATGATACAATATTATCCTTTTTATTATTCCATACTTGCTGGGTACAACATATAGATGTATCATGGCTGCTTATGAAATTGTGTATTAATTAGTCCTTTACAGGAAGCAAAAATACATGATTTATTATTTTTCTTTTTCAGAGTTCTGGTATTGGAGAGGCAAGTGTGTACCATGCTCTGGTTGTAATATTTTTGGAATTTTTTGCATGGGGTTTATTAACCATGCCTGTTATCTCTGTATTGAATATCACATTTCCAAATCATACGTTCCTGATGAATGGCTTGATAATGGGCATTAAAGGAATCTTGTCATTTCTTTCCGCGCCATTGATCGGCGCTTTGTCCGATGTGTGGGGACGAAAGTTCTTTCTACTTATCACAGTAGCCTTCACGTGTGCGCCGATTCCTCTAATGAGCATTAACACATGGTGGTTCTTTGCTATGATCTCCATCAGCGGTGTCTTTGCTTGCACATTTTCAGTGGTATTTGCATATGTTGCCGATGTTACGGAAGAACATCAAAGATCTCCGGCATATGGTATGGTACGTATCATGTCGTTCAAAATATGGAGAACAATCGTTAGTATAGAATCATTGTTCTAGAAGTATGTATATTTTTGTTTAGGTATCAGCAACTTTTGCTGCAAGTATGGTAATAAGTCCAGCATTAGGAGATTATATCATGAAAGTGTATGGAGAAAATCTTGTAGTTGCATTAGCAACCGCCATTGCAGTGTTGGATGTGTTTTTTATATTAGTGGCTGTACCTGAAAGTTTGCCTGAAAAAGCTCGTCCACCAGTACCTATATCTTGGGAGCAGGCAGATCCTTTTGCTTACCTTGGAAAGGTAAGTGATTCATTATAGCACATATAAAGGAGATGTACTTGAAATCAATCCAAATTAGCGAGTTTCTGCATAAAAATAGATACTCCTCGACAATATAAGGGGGCTCTAGAAATCCTGTTTCACACGAAATGTGATAATTCTGACTGCACGGAAATTAGATTTTTATCTGAGAAAACAAATACTGAATATATGTTAATTGTGATGTTTCAGGTTGGCAAAGATCACACTATCTTAATGTTGTGTATTACTGTGTTCCTGAGTTATCTTCCCGAAGCAGGACAATATAGTTGTATATTTGTCTATTTGACTAAAGTTATGGGGTTCACTGCTGTGATGGTAGCAATTTTTATTGCTGTGGTAGGAATCTTAAGTGTTGGAGCTCAAAGTCTCTTGGGTCCCTTAATAAGGACGCTCGGCAGTAAACATACTATAATGTTAGGCCTCTTATTTGAGATGTTACAACTTATGTGGTTCGGATTTGGTTCACAAACATGGTAACATTTCGTGGTTTTTTAATTTTATCTTACATAAATAAAATCGTTTCACTCATTCGCGATCTGTTAAATGTTTTCTAATTTCCAGGATGATGTGGGCTGCTGGAGTGCTTGCTTCTGTGTCAAGCATTACATATCCTGCTATTTCTGCATTCATATCCATGCATTCTGATGCTGACAAGCAGGGTTTGGTACAGGGTATGGTAACTGGAATGCGTGGATTATGTAATGGTCTTGGCCCAGCAATGTTTGGAGTAATCTTTTATCTATTTCGCGTTGATCTCAACGATAATTCACCCCTTCCCGCTAAGCCATCTCTTTTAGATGAAAATAATAACACAGGAACTGCCACACAACATCCTGATATCATACCACAACTAGTAACCCAGGTGGGATTCATTATAAATTACACGTCGATGTCGATCTTTTGTATAAATAATTGATTGCAATTGTTAAAATTCAACTTTTGATACTTTCAGCTTGTACCAGGACCACCATTTGTGTTTGGTGCATTACTTGTGATATGTGCATTACTCGTAGCTGCATTTATACCCGAATCAAGTACAATGCCAACAGGACCGTTGCATCATCCAACCACCTCCCGGAGGCCCTCCGGTAAATACGCATATCAGAAATGTACGTTAAAGGTTGTCAGTTATGTTAAAAGTCAGATGTATTTTTGGTGTTCCGGATTTCCTTTGAATTCGTTCATTAGAGTTATTATTGTGAATGCGAACATGAAATACAAATATTGGTTCACAGAAACTAAAGTATTATCTGTTTAAATGTTAATATGTATAATTAAAATACATCTATATTTTATGTAACATACACGTACTTAATATTGTGCCACGTACTATTGCACGTGTCTACAATCTATCTATTAAGTTATATTTTCATTTATAATTTAAGGTTTATCCTTGGATGTACATTATGAGGCAGACAAATTGAGTAACGAGAAAGGAAAAATAGGACCGCTGTCACCTCTAGTCGACAATTGTAACTCTGCTGCTCTATAGCTATTGTCAAAATTCAAACAGGACACAGCAAAAAAGAGGGATATGTATCCTTGCCCAGTGACGAAACTCTATGTTTAGAGAAACAATCGTTACTATCAAGTGCACCTACTTCACAAGAACTTTTGAGAAAGCTGTCTATATTGTATTATACTACGTCTTTAAGTCAATAACTTAAGTTTGATTTTTAGGTTCATGAAGTTTTTATTACGAGCAGTGCTTGTTTTATGAGGTGTAGATTGAGCTGACAATTGATTTCAATTTGTTTAGGTGTTTCGTTACATGAAAAATTTGATTTTCTTTTTTACTACTAAAAAATGAGATAGTAATATCAATTTGTACCAAGTCAAGCACTGAATATCTTGATACATTTATCAGTGACTCCTACTTTGTGTAGATTGCCGATAGCATAAAACGGTGAAACGAATGAAAGTTGTAACCAGTATTTTTACTAGACTTATAACAAACGATTACCGAATTTCTTATGTCGAATCCTCTTCTTTTATCATACACGTCACATTATTGCTGACAGTTTTCCTTCCCCTTTTTTTCGATTTAGGGCAAGAGCACCTGTTACTTTGATCGCACATATCACGAGACTCAATATTTTCTATAATTACATTTGTGAATCATGTCCGAAGAAAACAAGGCTATATTTATTGGATACGTGTACTTTTGTTTCATTTTTTTTTCATGCATTCCTTTGTTTTAAGCGTATCTTTTTGAAATTAGAGAGAAAGAGAGATGAGATGAGTACAATAGATGAGGAAGAGTACAGACATTGTAAATGACACTACATAGCTAAAGAAATAGAGAATAAGTTTTCAGTTGCATATAATATCTAGTGAGAAAGTTAGCTGATGTTTGTACAGTACGTTAACTATTTTTCTTTGCATAAAGTATTTATTTTAATAATTAGATGTCAGCAAAATGAATGCAATGGCCTTAACTGGAAATACACAAAAACACATTTATATAAAAGAAAAAAAAGAACATACTATGCCGCATTCAATGACAGTGGTAGATTCCGATCGAGAATGTTGCAAACATTATTAATTGAACGCGTACAGTGTTTCCCTAATGTTAAAAAATGTGCATGTTAAAAATTGGAGTCATTGATGTTAAGAAAATACAACAATAGTGTAGTGTATTTGTGCATTTCACTTGTATTTTACAAGAGAGTTAGTGTTCGCAGAACTGTTTGTGCATTGCCATAGTGTAAAGTTTTTGAATTAAAAAAAATCTGCCAACATTGTTTAGAATTGATTCATGACGTGGAGGATTGATATTTCGTTGAAATCGCTCTACAGTGCTAAGATTATTTAAAAGCCAACTATGAAATTTCTACAAGACGCTTGGACCGAATGCAGCTTCATTATTTGCAATAATTTTCCAGCGAACATATGAAGTTATCGTCGCCGTTTGTTGGAAGATAATTAAGAGGCAAAAGCGGATACTCAGATCCCTAGTAAAAACCAAAGAATGAATAGTAACACAAAGATGTATTCGAAAGGTTGTAATATTACGAAGCAGTAGAAAACCCATAAAATAGGGTGCAATGCGTGAGCAAGAAATACAATTTTGTATAATCTCACTCTTCTCCAAGAATCCTTCTATTTTCTAAATTAGAAAGAATGTACATAAAATCACGACGCATTATTTCTTTTGTAAAGGTTCAGAAGAATGTTCGACCGATCTTTGGACAATTTTAAACTATCAATATTATTCCAATGCTTGGAATTGTTCTGATATTATAAAAAAAACAAAAAGTGCTATGCATATCTAAATTTAGTATTGTTTTTATATTGTTAAGGTATACCGTGGAATGGTATTTTATTCCAATTGCACAAGTTTTAAATACGCAACAGCCTTATTTTAATGATCACGATGAACATTATAAACATTTATGTAAATGCGTTACACGACAAATTTCTTGGAGAATACAGATACAAAATACTGTCCTGTGACTGCCTCAGTTGAAAATTATTTATTAACTTGCTCTTACACACTGGAGTACATGAACACTGTTGTAATATAACATTGCAAATGAAAGGAAACAAAAGAATCACAATATTAGAAATAAAGTCCAATTTAAGACTTAACACCTCAATAAATTAAGTAATTGTATATGTACAATGTATGACGGATGCATTAATAAAAATAATTATTTTTAAGATACAAGAACGTAGGTTTTATGAACATATTAGTTTTCGCATATATTACATTCCTTTACGTGTATTTACATTTCATCATTTTTTTCAACGTGTTTCTATTCTTGGAAGTCCTTTTAAACGGTTTGCAAAATAGTCGTTAATGTTGAGCCACTTTGCTGCCAAGACTCAATTGCTTTGTTAACAATCACTTCTGAAGTCTCTTCTGTTATCTGAAATAAGAACATTAACATCTATTTAATTCTTTTATTTATTTACCGAATTATAACGTAGAAAATTAAAGATGCACACGTTTTTTCATTATAAATGTTATATTGCATGATTAGGCTATAATTTCTTTAATTTTCCACTTTGTATATACATATTCAGATGGTCATTTCCATACATTGCTAATGGTGTCCAATACAGCATCTATGTTTTCACATCTCAATAAGAGCCGTCTTAAAGTTGTTAATGTAACTGCAGTTACAAAAATTAAAATTCTGTATGCACCCACAGCTATCTTATCCCAAATTCTACAAGTAGATAAATAATTTATCTGAGTACGTGTGTATGTAATGTTTTATACTTGTGAAGTCTTATAAATCTTGCTTTAAATGTATTAAATACACATACTTTGCTATAGAACCATCAGATACGGTTCCTGCAAAACATGAACAGAACCAAACATCGTATGGAATGTTGTAAAGAGCTTGAATTTTAACAAGATGCTTATACAATTCAGGATCTTCCCTTTCTAATAAAGTACAAGTGCATTCCTGTAACCTACTGACTTCCTTATGAAGCCTTTGTACTTGGTCTAAGAGGCCGCATAGTATCCAATATGTGTCTACAAGCTTTTCTTCATAGGAATCAATATCTATAATGTGCCACAATGTTTCAGCCATTCTGCTCATAGATCTAAAATGAATATTATTAATAAACATGGTGAATTAATAGATTATAAGAAGAAATTATGGAGCATTAAAGTAGAGACCTATGTAGAGGAATCTCTAATTGAGCACTCATATCAAGCTTTGCTCTCCTAGTACGCAACAACCACATAGTAAGAAACATTAAATGAGGCTTCGTGTAATCATCTAATATTTTGGTAACTTTTAGTGCTTTCTGCAGATCCTGGAATTCAGCCTTTCTTTGATTTATTATAAACTCATGACTGTCTACATAGACTGGTATTACATCCAGCAATATTTTCCATAAGAAATTTCTGTATATGGTGGGTACTGTAAATCGTAAACAAAACTGTTTCAATTTCGCTTTATCAAAGGGACGTTCTTTGAGTAATATTTCCAGAGATCTTTTCTCCTCAACACTACGGAATCCCACCTGTGTTTTATTACAGAGGAAATATAATATTATGCGTTGGTTATATTGCGTATAGATTAAAACACCAGATTGTTTAAATATATTTACCTTTTCGTAATAAGAGGAACGAAAATTTCGTTCGTCAGCCATTGTTTTTTATTAAGTTGTTATTGTAATTTATATGTTTTTTTATTGAATATTTGGAAAAATGTTTGATTCAAATTAAAAGGCACTGGTGCTGTCAAAATGGTCAAAACATTCTAAATACGCCCTCGTGTATCTCTTTCTTGAACTCTCGAGGGACATTAGTATGTAGCGGTAAATTTTAAGTTTGACAAGAATAAACACATCAAAATACACTTATTATGTGCAAGAAATATAATTTATTGTTTTCATATTATGTCTTACAGAGGATACAAGTAAAAAAAGTGATTTATATGTTATATTATTGCTCTGTAATAACATGTTCTGGAACTACCTTTGCAACTTTCCTGTACTCCTTGCGTAATGTCTTAGGACACTGCATTTGTGTCCAACTTATAGGTATCATAGCCATACCTGTAACAGAATCCTTACTGGTATAACAAAATTTTCTTCCTATTAATATCTTACCTTCTTCGCTATGTGCTATCACTACACCTAATTCATTTTCTGCTGTACTTAGTTGATAAGTATGTGCTTCTGTCATTGGCATCTATTTATTGTGTAAGAAAACATGAACAATTCTATACAGATTGTTAAATATTAAACCAATCCTAATTCATAATATTAAAGCAATGCCAAAGGATACAATTCTGGCGAGAATAATGTCTCCTGGTCTAAAACACTTGTACATTTGTATATTATCTTTGTCTATTGCACGCACATCTTCTCGTCTTAAAATCCCCCTATAAGGTCTTGTCAATACAATATCACCTATGCATTTTATGCTACATTTACAAATCCTCTGATTGACAATAGTGACCATTGCAGTCACAATGTCACCAGGTGCAGGGACAATACTTTGCTCTGTTATTCCATGAACTTCTATGTTGCGTGTCTAAAATACATAATAACATTGTAACAATTGAGTGTAATTGTACAGGCTATTCTGGGATGAAATTAGAAAATTTCTCCAACATATTTGGTAGGTCATTTTAAGTTGAAAAAGACATATATACTCTACTGTAATATATTACTTTTGCTGTAAATTTTCAACAAATTGAGATCCATAATGTATATAGTTTTTTAGTAATATCCTGGAGATATTTGTCAATTTCATCCTTAAATACCCAGTATAATATTAAGAGCTGTTTATACATGATGTTTTGCCTTACATTTTCTCGTGGTACTAATTTAACTACACCTGCAAGTTTAGAATAAATGTAACCCTGTTGTTCATAAGTTCCAGGTCCAGATATATTAATTTCATCGGAAACACATAATCTTTGACCTGTTATAAACAAACCAAGACATGTTTTTATTTTTTAGTTTAATTTAAAGGTTGCTGCATTAAAATTCTGTGTACACTTACCTGGAACACAGACAATAAGTTCGTTTTGTTTTTCCATATTACTATTGTGAAAATGTGTCATCACCGACTACGTATAATAGACTTATCATCCAATGCTTTTTTTTTGGTTCCACGTGCGAAGGGCTACGTAATCCTCTTACCATTTCAGTGTCAATACCCGACGTTACCGATAAAGCATGAATTTTGAGTATTCTTAGCACAAATGGAGCATTATATATTCCATTGATAATACGTGTATCCAACATGACTTGGTGAGAATAAAAATATCCGATGCTTCGATTTAAAGGGTGAATATAATACTGATGAAATACGACGCGCGAAAGTATATTTTGTTTCACTAATCTGTAAGATAACTTATTCTAAATTTCATCGTTAATGAATATTTTAGTAATGTTACGTTTTCCACATTCCCTTTTCAGTCGTTTTTATATTTTTTTTATCTGATAACGTGATATAAGAATCTTAATACACACAATCAATTACTTTCTGACAATTGGTGAGGGAGTAATTAAACAATGAACTTCGACCAACTAGAGCTCAGCTAGTCAAGCTTTCTTCATGAAAAATAGTTTTTATCTATTATTTAACTGGTAATATTTGTCAGATTATATTTCATAAACTTTGGTACCATTGTCAAATTAATAGGATATACATATCATAGATGGCGTTCGAGAACCATTGGAGGATTGAAAGCTTCGAGAAGACGATAGCAAAATTAATATTTTCGATCTAAAACAAATTGGAATATCACATTTCCGCGGATAATGTGTGCCTCTTTCTTTCCCTTTTATGATAGTCATTCCCTTCTGAATTAATCTCGGATGCATATAAGAAAAATGTATTGAAATATAATTCGGTGGTAAATATTCTATTTCGTAGTAATAAGAAGTGGCGCGCGAGGGAGGCGACCAATCCTCGCGTTCCACACACCGATCCACCAATCATGGCCAGTCATGGGCAGCCTAACGGTCATTCTTCTCTGTGAAGGTGAAGTGATTAGACGTGAAGTGATCTCGCTCGTGGGGAAGTAAGTATTATTACTTATTTCTTTGGCAACATTCCTCGAGTCAATAATTGTTTCCTTTTTATTCAATCATTGTGAATTTAGTATAACTGCTTCGTATTAACGTGTATTTTCTGCTTTAGAATGTCAGATAGAAGGAACGCGCCACCGATGACACGACGTGGACTCCCATTAGAAGCAATTCGGCGGGAAATTGTAGACTTTTGGTAACGTATTATAACAAAATAAGTTACACATGTTTCTGTTTTATTGTATTTTCGTTGTTTTTACGGTAAACATAATCGCGACTTTATGATTAGCTTTGCTAAAATCGAATAAGAATGCTTTGGAGAAATATTGCACATTCAAACGCGTAATTGAAGCATTCAACATGGCTTCCTTGACGTTAGAAACTTTAAACGAGATGCTTGCAGAATTTTCAGTTAGAAATACTCGTACCGTACTGCATCTCGGTCGCGAAATGATTTCAATTTTAATAACTTTACCGGTTTATCTTTATGATGTTATCGTATTTGCATTTATATACGGTTCCGGATGTAAGTGTAAATATATAGAAGCTGCGTAATTGATCATGCTCATCGAAGCTTGACTAAATTACGAAACTTTGATATTTGCAATAATTTTCTGAATATTTTCTTGAAATTCGGTACGCGATATAGACAAAAAGTACGAGCATTCTTAAATTCTAATAACGAATGTCTTCAATATAATATACTAATAACAAATATATATGAGTAATGAATATAATATATTAACAAATTTGAGAATTACTCTGAAATATTTGGCGTAGTTAAATTCACATTTGCATTTTAACACATATTTATCATTGAATGACAATTTTTTCAAGGTAAACACTTGATCGATATAAAAATAAAAAGTATAAGCCGGTGCACGTGCGCCGTATTGTATTTATTTTCTTCCCTTTTTGTCCACAGTATTTGGTGGCCGCGTGCAAAGCGGTCGTCGAGTCGAGTCAGTGTTTGTTTACATCGAAGTTTTTTCTGTTTATGCGGAGCGAACTGGCCCCGATTAGGATCTCACCGGAGACGTTGTTATGGTCCTCGCGGAACTAGAGTCAGTGTTTGTTGCGTACAATCTCAAATTATTTTCAGAGTTTCGGGACACTCTTTGCTTTGTGTGTCGCGAAAGTAGAATCATTTGTTCGCCGGTTGAGATTTTCGGTTGCGATAGTTTTTTATTTTCATTTTTTTTCTACTTGAAAGTGCTCGTTCGCGAAAGTAGAATCAGTGCATCACGGAAGTGGATGTTTTTGGGCGAAGCTCTACAAATAGAGATTGTAAGTATTCTTATATTTTATTACTTATACTGTTCAACTGAAACAGCTAGAGTTTTGAGAAGAGATTATTACGTGTTCTGTTCCTTTGTTTCAGATTTATAAGATGCTGTACTTTATAGATTATATAAACAAACACTGCAGAGGATGTCCTTGGGCGAAGCTACACCATTTTTCAAGTTTCGTCGAGAGAGAATATTAAAGGGAGCTCTTCGGTCATCGGGTGAGTGAATGTTTTTATTCCTCCAGTTCCCAATCATGTCGTAGGACGATTGGTCCGAAACGGCACGGGCGACTGGTTGTATACGTGTTTTTGGCGAGTACAGTGAACACGGATATGCAATCGTACGATTGCATATCCGCGAGTAGTAACATTCATTTGTTGTGTTTCTTAGTTCATAGGCTAAGGTCTTCTTGTACGCCGCGTTTATTATTAGTAATATAATTCATAACTATTTTGTATTAAAAGAGTACGAGTTGAATATGTAATGTTCGGCTTAAAGGCGAATATCATACCGACGAAATCACATTGGTTATGATGTACTTTCTTTAAGTGTTCAATTTAACATGCGATATTAATCTTGGATATTTCAATAGAGATCATTCTATTGTTTAAATAGTTGTTATTTTTTTCTTAATCGAGTGTATATTGAGAACGTCGTAGTATATTATTTATTTTACTAAAAAATGCAGTAATGTGATGATGATACGTGCAATAATTTCAGTATAGTCATTTTAATAGAGTCGTTTGATATCATTTGTGAATGTAGAACGAAATACGATCTACGTAAGGAAAATTGCAGAACATAGAAAATACAATATATTCACAATGGTCTATAAATATCGGTCAACCGATTAAAAGAATAATTAATATTATTCTTATTAATGTGTGAAATAAATATCAATGGTAGATTCGAATATAGAGTAGAAAGAACAGAAACCACACCGGTATGTTTAAAAAATAGAGGGAAAAACATGGTGGTGCCTTTTTCGATAGGCATGTTATAGCAGTTAGCGCAATACCACGAGACGCGACAGCACGTTTCAAATGCCGGAACCAGTGTCGCGAGACACAAAGGTATATCATTCGTATTTGCAAGTTCCATGAAATAATGGAACACGTGTACTGGGAATCGCGATAAAGTATCGGTGCATAAAAAGAAGACGTATTAATTTATGTCACCTGTGCATCGATATGCACGACCTAGTGAAAAACCGCGTGTTATGGAACAATTTAACACGTTGTGCATGTATGACCATTGAAAAGTGTATTGCGATTTCCAGTTATCGTGGCTGGTGCTTTCGTTGCCAATGGCAAAGAACGCATTCGGTTACGTACACGGGTAGAGTAATGAGATGTACTGGCGTGTACTCACGACCACTTTAATGGAGTGTGAGCGTTAAATGCAGGGAAGGTACTACTGTGTTTCACCAGCATGTATAGTGTTCCACAAACATATTTGTTTGGTAGACGTATATACTCAGAAGGAATGAGTATTTGTATTCTGTCCTTTAAAAAAGGGCAGGCCCAGAGGTGTCCATCTACTCTTGCGAGCAGCATTCTTTCCCTCTGGAGGTACCATGACTATGGGACTTGGATTGACTCGCTCGAGTTAATCTGAAGTCGGTAGTCGGGGAAATCAACGAGAGGAAGCTTGTAATTGCTTGTAGCTCGTGGGCGGCATTTGGACACCTTTGGTATTAGAGTTAATTTTTATGATAATTAGTATTTAATAAAATTTTATTTCACCTATTAGTCTGTTAATTATTATTTTCAACAGTTATACCGTCATTTCTAGACCCAATAAATAAGTGAATATAACTTAAATTTATTTACTATTTGAATACAGTATATGATATATCAGTTTACTGTAAAGAAGTTTTGAGATTGATATTTTTCTCTTCGTAGGATAGTTCTAATAGAAATAAGAATATTCATGAAGCATCATTGAGAATATGCAATTCTAGATTAACAGTTTTCACTGAATTATATCAGAAATACGTACTACCACGTTGCTCTAAGACAGAAATAAAAATTAAATAGTGTATTTTCGTACACTTGGATTAAGATTGTCCATCATAAAGTTCTGCTGGATAAATATGATATTACAGACCATGTACAAGAAGGCATTTCGCGACGGGTAGATTTCTGTGTCAAAGTGACATGTCTGCTGTTACACTTATGCGATGTCTTACGTTGCCTTTGACGACGGGATCGCCTGAGGGTTCTTCGATACGTAGAGTCATTTATATAATTGCAGAGTCTTGCTTAGAGTCTTAATAACTAAATTCTACAACATTAATAAATAGTCAATCTTTGATTTTCAATTTTTATTAATACAAAGTCGAGTCACTTTTATTCCAAGAGAATATTAGCCCGTTAGAAGAGAATGAACTATGTAATATGCTTTTTAGTTAGGATTTTCAGGATATTGATTCCGTGTTCGTTGCTCGAACCCTTTCACGTGCCCAGGTGCTACTTGGTTGGACGAGAGCAACGGGGAACGATGACTTGATTTCATATAATAATAACATGTCTATGCGATTGGCAATGCGTTAGCTTACCGTGCACGATGTATTTTCCACTTGTGTGTGTGTGTGTGTGTGTGTGTGTGTGTGTGTGTGTGTGTGGTTAGGCAGTGGAATTGCGTCGTTTAGATTTCTATCAATTAACATTTCATCTGTAATTGTTCCGTGGAACAATTTCGCTCAATTTTCGGTATCGGTCGTACATATTCCTTTGCTTTATACAATGTTTATAATAAAATTTCCATG